TATATATATATATATATATATATATATATATTCATATCAGTGAAAAAAATTGATATCCTACAAAAACAGATTACATCATTATCAACCAGGAACACCAATTGAAATAGGAATAAACAACATTGTATTATTTTTCATTTATTTTTTCATTATAATTCATTTCGAAGTCAGGAATTTTGAAATTAATTTTGATATAGAAGTTAAAATTGTGGGAGTAGCTTAATTGTTCAATTATGTAAACTATTCTTATAAACATTTGGTAATATGAATATGAAACTATTGTAAGCATTATACTAGGTCCTAATCATAACTGTTACATCAAACAGGTTCGTTGTCATTTGGGGTATATTATCTGTAGTTGTATCTACGGCGGTCTAGCCATCGCTTTTCGTTGAAATCACGGCCCCTGTTGTCGTATATTTGCTGTAAAATGAAAAAAAAATTCAGGATTAATGATCTTGTTCAAGATTTTAAGTTTGTTTCAGTTTAGGTATATGATGTTTATGGAAATTCATGGACGCATTTTTCTTCTTACATAAATGTATCTAAACACAACCATACTTGCACACACAAATGCATAAATTCTTATCGGAAAGACTTGGTTTTACCAACCGACGAACCATAACAATTATGGTTTCAAACCAGCGTTGATGTTGACTACAGGTTCGGTGCCTCAGTCTTTTTGCGCTCGACCACTCGACTCACACAGTTTACATTAAAACATTCTATTTAAAATTATCGTTTCTTAATTTTACATATTCTTACCGCGTGTTCTTCACCAGAAGCAACATACGGACGATAGAATTCGGAATCAGGCATTGCTCTGTTGTATCCACCAATCTTTGAATTGAGAATTAAAGAGAACCGATAAAAAAAACCAACATAATATAATAAGAGACTTAATTTGGACACAGTGAATGTACTACTTACGTCAGTTACTGAGTTGAGCATCACACCTCGTTGGTATTGTACAAGTCTATCCGAATGAGACGAACTAGATAGGCTGTCACTATCTAGATATCGAAACTGATAAGGCGTTTGATGACGATTATGCCTATTTGTTGCATGTGCAGCAAATTGCTTTTGCTGGTAAAGATTTCGCTTGTATAGACACAGGCATATGAAGACAATGGTACATACTATGACAATAACCGGGATTACAGAAGCCAACGCAATTGTAACATGCAGCATCGTATCTGAAAGGTAAGATCAGTAGAGATATTACAATTCCATTTATACTATGACTGTCGGATATTTATATTATTGCAGTAGTATTATAGTAGTATATAGACACAATCTACATTACAAAATATGAAACATGATTCTGTAAAGTCATGTGATTACATCATTCACATTACTACATTACTTAGACAAACCCACATTATTTAACTACGTCAGGGTAAAACATTTGAGGAGGTATCATAAAACTGATATTAAAATTAGTAAGATAGGCAGATAAAAATACATCTCACCACCCTAGCCATATCGATTTGTAATAATTTTTTTTTCTGGCTTATGTCCCATTAGAAAAACTTAAATTGATTGCACACAAATACCAGCATGTCTGACGTTACACAGTACTGTAAGTCAATGTTTGCCATAGGATAAGTGAGTTTGACGAGTAATAATGTTATTACTGAAAATGGCATTGGTGCAAGGGTATTAGTTAAAATGAGATGAAATTTATTTTTAAAAATTATTGAGTTTAACCATATGTTGTTTTTTTTTCAGGATGAGTGATATGTAAGAATACAAAGTTCGGATGAGGGCAGTATAATAGGCAGTAGAGTATATTGGCCCTAACGTCCGGCCGCCCATACAAAAAAGATCTATTAATCAATCAGCAGGGTGCTCCTAGAGTTCCTCATCAGAGCTTTTTTTTTTTTTTTTTTGCTCGGACAAAGTTTGATAATTTAAACGATCTACCCCTTATTTCATACTTTCCCCAAATGTTTAAATATTTAAAAATCTATACTGGACCCCAAATGTTTAAATATTTAAAAATCTATACTGGACCCCAAATGTTTAAATATTTAAAAATCTATACTAGTACTGGTACGGGCATTTATAATGCGCCTCTTCCTTACGGCTATTAAGCGCAGTTATTTTCCCTGGTCATTGGGTCCACATGCTAAGTGTTGCTGCTGGTGACCCCACCAGGTACCTATTTATACTCCTGTGTGGAGAGAAGCAATGCAGGTAAAATACCTTCCCAAGGACACATGCGAAATGCACAGCGAGGGATTGAAACCAAACCGTTCCCGTTGCGCCAAACGCTTCCAATAAGAGAAAGGGTCCATTACATTAAATTATTTTACGATGGAATTTTATATATTTCAGTTGTCAGTCAATGATTTTAAACACGGGATGACAAAAGTAGACAAATAAAAAAGCAAATTAAATTTAAAACACTGTAGTGTAGCAGCTATATTCATCTGTCATTATCTATAAATAACAAAAAAAGAACCCCTTTCCAATAAATGCAATATTCATATTGAAAGAGAACAATATCCCGACGAAAAGCTTAATTTATTGGCTGAATATATAAAACCCAACCATTTTCAGTTGCAAAATGATCTAAATTATCAGAAAATACTAATTGTATTTGTGATTGGTAATGCAAATAATCAGCATACCTTTTTTATTTTGACATTTTTCACCTTCGTAGCCAGATACACAATTGCATACAGGTAATCCATCATTTTCATAACAAGTCCCATCGTTGTAACAATAATCGGAAGTACATGATTCCACTGAAATCATTAAAAAAAAACACTTGCGTTTACATTTTAACACGAGTCTTGAACTATAACCAATGACAATATGTTATTTCAGGTTATAGACTGGCCACTTGTATTGCTGGTTTGCCAATCAATTTGAAACTGAATGTTAGTGTTTATGTTGATATTTTGAAGTAAGTATACAAAAAATAAATAAAATAATACAATTTCATAAGCTGACATCCTCTATTACAACACTGTAAGTAGTTATTCGTACCTTCTATCACAGTTATAGCTGCAGTGTTAATGATAAATCCAGTGCCAGGCAACATGTCATTTTCAACTTCAGAAAGCACGGCCTGTATTTCTTCAGGAGTGGTAGTGTCCTCTGGAAATTCTACCTGCACGTTTACGATTATGCTACCATTTTCAAAACTGAAGACTGAGCATCCTTGGCTGGCACTGTCAATGGCCGTACTTTCATCGAATAAAGTTGTTATCTTTTGAAATTTGAAATTTTAAGAGTTAAAATGTGCTTAGATTTAGATTTTAGATCAATTCATTCACGATCCTCCATAACGGAGCAGGAAATAAAAAAACAAAACAAAACAAAACAAAAACAAAAAACAAAAAAAAAATACTTGAAAAAAAAAAACAAACTTGAAAACTAAAGGAGATCAACAAAGTGAAAAAGTAAACAATTAATGTTGAGTAATAAAATTATCTCCTATTTCGTTAACTTCCAATTTAGGATAATTTGAATTATAATATTTTTAATGTAATAACAAGTTCAGTTTAATTATCACAATAATTAATCATAGAACACTCCAAATATTGTAACAATAATCGGAAGTACATGATTCCACTGAAATCATAAAAAAAAAAAACACTTGCGTTTACATTTTAACACGAGTCTTGAACTATAACCAATGACAATATATTATTTCAGGTTATAGACTGGCCACTTGTATTGCTGGTTTGCCAATCAATTTGAAACTGAATGTTAGTGTTTATGTTGATATTTTGAAGTAAGTATACAAACAATAAATTAAATAATACAATTTCATAAGCTGACATCCTCTATTACAACACTGTAAGTAGTTATTCGTACCTTCTATCACAGTTATAGCTGCAGTGTTAATGATAAATCCAGTGCCAGGCAACATGTCATTTTCAACTTCAGAAAGCACGGCCTGTATTTCTTCAGGAGTGGTAGTGTCCTCTGGAAATTCTACCTGCACGTTTACGATTATGCTACCATTTTCAAAACTGAAGACTGAGCATCCTTGGCTGGCACTGTCAATGGCCGTACTTTCATCGAATAAAGCTGTTATCTTTTGAAATTTGAAATTTTAAGAGTTAAAATGTGCTTAGATTTAGATTTTAGATCAATTCATTCACGATACTCCATAACGGAGCAGTAAATAAAAAATAAAAAAAAAAATACTTGAAAAAAAAAAAACAAACTTGAAAACTAAAGGAGATCAACAAAGTGAAAAAGTGAACAATTTATGTTGAGTAATAAAATTATCTCCTATTTCGTTAACTTCCAATTTAGGATAATTTGAATTATAATATTTTTAATGTAATAACAAGTTCAGTTTAACTATAACAATAATTAATCTTAGAACACTCTAAATAAAGACAGGATCTGAATCTGCATGCTGTAAATGTGTAAATCGGCAGTTTTAACCTACTTTTTCCAACTATGATGTGGTATTTACTTCAGATCCTGTGTGTTTTTCAAATAGTTTTGTCAAATGTATTATTATTAAACATATAATACACTTATTATCGCTTATGTTTACAAATTCAATTATTTAATTTAAGGGGTCATCCATAATTATCAACATTTTCAAAAGAGTACAAAACATACTCTTTTCTGTTACCCCCTCCCTCCCCCGAAAGTGTACACAATAAAATGTTGATTTGTGTCATTTTGAGATCAACATTTTATGTTTTTCATAAAAGAGTACTTATGCCTACACTTTAAACCCCTCCCCCCTAAAGCGTATGTTTTGTACTCTTTTGAAAATGTTGATAATTTTGGATGACTCCTAACCATTTATTAGTCGATTATCTTAATACATTTAAAAAACCTATTTGTTTGCAAACATTAATGAACGACATTGTTCTTACCGAATTACAGATTTTCTGTTCATACTCTATGTACAATGGCGACGTCGAATCTTCAAGTTCATTGACATAAACTTCACTAGTAATTTCCAGCCTTACATTATACGTGGTAACTAAAAAGCAATATTTTATTCAATGCATCAATTTATATGGTTCTGTATTGTCATTTATAAGCCTAGTTAGGTAGAGAACAGTCTAAATAATATAAAAATCACACCTGGTGCCGTACCTGGTTCCATTGTGGTTAATGTAGTTGATTTATCTGCAACTACTGTAGTTTGCTCTACCACAGGTGTTGTAGTGTCTCGTAGTTGTACAGTAGTTTGCCCTGGTTCTGTTGTTAGCTCTTCGGTAGATACAGTGGTTTTATCTGCCCTTTCTTCCGTAGATTCTACAGTAGTTTTTTCTGCTACTGTTGTTGGATGTGCTACTCTTACTGTAGTTCTTTCGACTTGCTCTTCTGTAGTTGTTTTGTCCATTGTTGTTACAATAGTTGATCCTGCTCTTGTTGTAGTTGTTTCTGCTGTGGTTATTTTAGTTTGTTTCACAGGAGTTCTTTCTGCTCCTGTTGTAGTTGGTTCTGCTGTAGTTATTATAGTTTCTTCAACAGTAGTTGATTCTGCTCCTGTTGTAGTTGGTTCTGCTGTGGTTATTGTAGTTTGTTTCACAGCAGGTGTTTCTGATCCTGTTGTAGTTAGGTTTGTTGTGGTTAATGTATTTTTTTCCTTTCTTGTTACAATAGTTGATGCTACTCCTGTTGTAGTTTCTTCTGTAGTCATTGTAGTTGGTTCTGCTGTGGTTATTGTAGTTTGGTCCATTGTTGTTACATTAGTTGGTCTTGCTTCTGTTGTAGTTAGTTCTGCTGCAGTGGTTTGCTGAATAGTTGTTACTACTGAAAACCCAAATACAACATTCCATATGATATACAAGACCAATTCCAATTATATCAGTTAAAATCGATTTAGTCATCTTTACACTGTTCTTATCTCGCTATTCATAATATTATATGATAAACATCGGTATTAAAATTATTAAAATTTTAAAATCTAATATAGCATTTATACAATAATCAAACTATTTGGTGTAAATTTAATTTAAGCAGAATATAAACAAACCTACCAGGCGTCATTACATAAAAAGATGATGTGTCGACGGCACTGTCTGGTTGCAATTGCCTATTTTCTGCTCCTGTTAACCCTCCATAAAATATTGCCGCGACGTCATTCAATGTCAGGTTTGTTGATGTTGGTAGATCAAATCGAAAAGTGACTTCCACGAACGGAGGAATTTGCCTATAGGAATCTACACTTACTTGTAATATGGAGCTCCCAATATTTGATGACTGAAACAGAGCGTAAACCTATTCACAAAGAAAAAAAATCATCAATTAAAGAATAAATCAAACGCTTTTGTCTTAATCGGTATTTGCATTTTTATTTAGTTTTCAAACCCTGTCCTCAAATTTCCACATTATTATTCTATTATTTTCTTTTATGGTCGAGAGGTAGGCTCTAAGTTTCAATTTTCAAATGCATTTATCGGTTTATCACAAAATACCATATTTATAATAGTGCAACAATAACTTGTTATCTGTGCTGATTATTATTAGAGAAGAAGATCCTGAAACTGCAATAAGTTAGTAACACATTATGATGGCGGAGGAATTACATTATAGAAAGTTATGAAATGAAGTGTAGATGAGCAGACGTTATGTATATACATAATACAAAATTCATGCACATAGGTCATTCAATTTGTTACAACCGAAGACAAATCATACAATTCATGCAACATACATCATCTACAAGACCATTTCGAATGTCAACGGAATCAAAAACAGTTGGCCGCACACTGACAACGACTCCTTTGATGTCTGTAAAGTTTACTACCATATTCATGGTTAATGCATCTAAACAATGACAAAAGATAAAAGTGTTTTTGTAAATGCATAAAATTGTTGTGAAACATTTTGGTTGATTTTATGCTAGTGATTTTGATACACTTTAAAACTCTTTTATACATCTCTGCAAGGAGGTATAAAAATAATGATAAAAATAATAATAAAAAATGATCTCTGCATGTAATAATGATTAAGTTATTTGAATACTTTAATAAAAATATTCAAAATATTTTAGAATTACTAGAATTTGTTAATAAATGTATTATCACCATACAATTATTTTAAATAACGTGCCCAGACAAAAAAGAAATGATCTGAAAGATATGCACTTAAATATAACTTACCTACACAGGTACCATCCACTTCCACAAAGTTATTCATACACACACATGTGTAGTTTCCTTCAACATTATTACACTCCTTGTTTTCTTCCAAATTACAATTATTGGTCATCTCGCATTCATTAATATCTAAAGAAGAAAATATACAATCAAGTTGATTGAGGCTTTAAAGATGAACCCCAACCTGACCCAAACTACCACATTGAATAAAATGTACGGTAATACGTTAATCCTAATTTCACTTTTTGCATTCCCCTAAACTGTCACAAATTTAATGCTTAATCAATAATAAAGAAACAACCCTTTTTAATTTTATGTATGTACCACTCCACTAAATTGTATGATCAATTTATTATGTCTAATTATTATACCTGAGCATTGATATCCATCACCCTGATATCCTTCACCACAAGAACATTCGAATCCACCAGGTGTATTTTGACAATTTGCTAAATTCGAACAATTATGAGTATTCAGCATACACTCATCGATATCTGAAAGTATGAGACATTCTTTATTATGTTACCACAGTACTAACAATGTAATAAGTAGTAGAAAATAGTTTTAATAAATTAAATATTGAATTTGAATGTATGATTATTTTACAACGGGATCAATAACAGGAGACACATGTCATATTTAAATGTTTGATATATTATCTTTTTTTCTCTTTTGAATCACGTTTTAAGATGGTATTTGTCCACCTACCATTACAATTGCCTTCAATTGCACTTCCCCCATCATTACTCATATAACCTCTATTGCACACACAGACATAGGAACCAACTGAATCCATGCACGAAGCATTTTCATCACAGTTATTCAGGTCAGATGATGCACATTCATTGATATCTGTCAGAAAGGTCAAGCAATATTATTGTAAATCTGTTTCAATATTAGATGTATAAAACATGACACACAAAATGTCAAAATTACAATTTGCTAAAAAAAAAAAGTAATAAATTAAAATGTATCAAGTTATCTATTTTATCAATGAGCATATTTTTCTGGGGGGCAAAATACAAGATATATAACTTTTCTTTTACTTTTACATGTTTCTTTATATTGTATTTGTGTTTCGTAATTGTATTTTAATTAAAATCATTATTTAAAAATAAACCAGGAGAACAAAATGAGGAATAATAAAATACAAAATATATAACATTTCATTATGATTATTTTTTCGAAATGTGACAAATTTTAAATAACAATTTCAACATCGTATCATTATCTTTTCATGTCATCACAATAATGATAGTATTGTCTAATATCAAACTTTTCCCTCACTTTCACAGTTTTGTCCAGTTCCATTGAAGCCTACATTACACATGCATGTAAATGAACCGGGTGTGTCAGTACACGTAGCATCTGCATGGCAATCAGCAGTGTTTTCTGCACATTCATCGATATTATTACAACTTGTTATTCCATCTCCACGGAAACCATCGTGACAGTTGCATTGGTAGGCTCCTTCCGTGTCTGTACATTCAGCGTTTTCATTGCAAGTGCTATTGTATTCACATTCGTCAATATCTTTAAGTTAAATTGTAAATCATTGTACAAATAATGTTTACATTATTATCTTTACTTAATCAAACTGATTAACTAATTGTAAGTAATGTTACGTACACAAATTGTGTAATTGAACAATTGGGCTGTCTGTCTACTAAAAAATAAAATTTGTAATATTCTACTAATAATATCACGATAATAATAAAAACAATTAACAATAAAATGGAATGATAAAATTACTATAATAATACTAACGATACTAATAATAAGAGTCTAACTTACTTTGGCAAGTGATACCATTGCCAGAAAATCCATCATTACAGGTACATGAGTAATTCCCAGGTGCATTACTACATGTAGCCATGGAATCACATGGCATTGATGAACATTCATCCACATCTGTTAATTTTAAGTCATTGGTAAATAAAGATGTAGAATATGTTTATATAACATAGTAGCAATATTTCACCATTGTCTTTTGAGTGCTTTACAAGTATAATCAAATTTAATCTCAGATAATAGTAACTAATTTGATACTGTTTTAATAATTTCTTTCCATAATCATTCATGAACCTCTTGTATTTGCATCAATCCCTTGCTAAGTTGGTGTATTAAATTGTTGATTTTTCACCATTGTCTTTTGAGTGCTTTACAAGTATAATAAAATTAAAGCTCAGATAATAGTAACTAATTTGATATTGTTTTAATAATTTCTTTCCATAATCATTCATGAACCTCTTGTATTTGCATCAATCCCTTGCTAAGTTGGTGTATTAAATTGTTGATAACACTTAGATAAATACATAGTATAATATGCAGCAGAGGAAATTGGCCTTCAAGGAAAAGAACAATGAATAATTTAAAGACAAAATATTTATAATATTTATTTTTATGAATATTATATAGTAATTGGCCTACCAAAACAACTCTTGCCATTTCCTGTAAAACCACCTTTACATTGACACACATATGAACCGTTAGTATTAGTACAGAAGGCAGCATCATCACATCTTTCATAGTCACAAGTCTCATTTCCGGAACAGTAGAGTCGAATATGTTCACATTCATCGATATCTATTGAAATACACAGTTTTAAGAATAATTCATAGCATCATCGACACACAATATATTATCATCTGATAAAATAGTAATTAGTAAGCATTGGCTTTTTGTTTTGTTATTACTACCGACTAGGCCTGTGTGTCTAAACGACTGTCTCAAGAACTGTGTTTACACCTGCGCGCATACAACACAACGTAACTGTTTTACAAGCATCAAATTATAAATTGTTTAACTGTAACAAGTCCTAATATTTAACTGTAACAAGTCTTAATGTAAATTAGCCTTTATGTAAATTAACATGAAAAAAAACCCATAATTTACCGTTACACTGTTGACCGTTTCCAGAATAACCAGAATTACATGAACATATGTATGTACCAGGAGCGTTGATACACATTGCATTTTCACTACATGAATCCGAAACACCACACTCATTTATATCTGAAAATCAAAGACAATAGTAAAAGCAATGTTTCCACATCACAATACACATTTTTAAAAAATTATATCACAATTACAATAGACTCAAAATACTAGTAATTGATTCAAAATTTGACGCCTTTTAAGCAATAAATTTACGTTTAAATAGTTTGTAATGTTTCTTTTTCTACATTAACACTTTGCAATTGTTTTAACAAAATTCGACCTCGGTTTTATATGTATTATTATATATCTAATTTGTATAAAATTATAATATTGTTTGAAAGCACAGACTTTAGGATTCATATACTAAAATAAAAGCAAACAGCTAATTTCATAAAGTGAAACATGATAACTACCATCGCAATCCCTCTGATTATCTGATAGCTGATAATTAGCACTACATGAGCAGTTATAAGAGCCTTCTGTATCCACGCAGTCCTCAGAACACATATTGTCTCCACTTGTGCACTCATTAATATCTAACAGATAGATGAATATAATATGTATATATAAATATACATATTATGTTGTAAAAAACGAACTGATGCCACGTTGTTCCAAATTTCAAATACAATAAAACACGAATACAAGCAACGATACAAGGTGAATTCTTTGGAATATATAATTTATCTGTAGTAGCGGCTGCCCTCTTTCTACCCAGAAGTATAAATTGGTACCTGGTAGGATGTTGTGGCATTTATTGCACTAGTTTCGCGTGCACGACTATGTATATTTCTCATGGAGCAGAGAAGTCACCTTGTATTG